TTCCGGGGTCAGGGGTTCGTCAAGCACCTCCAAGATGTCCATGGGCGGCCATGTGTCAGATCCCAGGATACGCTGAATCGAGGGGAAAATTAGACACTCCTGACAAAGGTGAAGCTTCAGAACCTCCCAGAAGAGCAGCAGCCCGACGCTGCTGGACACAGGACTAAGTGAATGAGCAAGTGAGGGAACTAAGCAGTGGTCCCCAGCCTCAGAGCCTCGAGATTTCTCCAATCACACTCACCGGGTCAAGGTTGCTGTCAGAGCTGTGTCCCTGGGCCCCCTGCTCCGTGGGTCCAGCCCGTGGAGTAGGAAGCTCGCTCTCCAGATTCCCACTCACGGGAGAACCGATGGACGCTGGACGGGTCACACAGTCCTCTGCAGAGAAGGGACGACTCAGTCCAGAGACCCCATCTCAAGTCGCAGGCCCACACCCCAGGCCGACCCACTTAACCTCCTACTAGAAGGAATCCACAAGACACCTCAGACCCTGTCTGAATTCTGATCCCAAACCAGGCCCTGGGGGCTCACGCCTGGCATCCCAGCTCCTCAGGAAGCTGAGATCCGGAGGATCGTGGTTCAAAGCCAGGCCCGGCAGGAAAAGTCCAGAGACTCTTAGCAGCCTGAAAGACACAATTCTCGGAGCGGAGAGTTTCCAGGAAAGGTCGCTGGGCCCCGGCTCACCGAGAACTCAGACTTCCTCAGGCTGGGGGATTAACTCCACCCAAAGCCACGTGTGAGCCTGAGGGTAAACTGAGGCTCACGTGCATTCTAAGCTGTTTACCCGGTAGCTCGCCTCCAGTCAAGAAGGTCACCTACCACTGGTACACAAAAGATTGCTCGCTTGGAAGTTCATCCAGAACTTTCTACAGAATTTCCCGATAGGAAAGCCCGTGGTGAATGGATCGTTGAGATGTGACGCTGGGCGGTGTCTAGAGGGGACCCCAAACCTCAATCCACAGCCCACGCTCTGTCCTCGACTCTGAAACCCGCACACCTCTGACCACACACACCAGACTTGTGTTTCTAGAATGCTCTCTAGAATGTCTCCTGCATAGAGCATGGGGGGCTAATATCCTCAGCCTTTTTTGGTTCCAAGCTATTTCCCCTTCCTTCCTTGCCCTTCTAGAACTAAATCTCTCATTTTGTTTCTGTTTGAACTCAGGGCCTGGGTGCTCTACCCCTTGAACCACAGCTCCATTTGGAGGCTTTTTGTTTGTGTTTTGTTTTGGGCTGGTCCACTGGAGATCAGAGTCTCACAGACGTTCCTGCCCGGGCTGGCCTTGAACCGCGATCCTCAGCTCTCAGCCTCCTGAGTCGCTGAGATGACAGGCGTGCACTGCAGTGCCCGGCTTCAGGTCTGTCTTACCTGTGTCTGCGTGGAGCGTGGGCTCGGGGCTGGGCCTCGGCTCCTCCTCGCGGGCCTGGCAGCTGCCGGGCCCTGGCGATCCGTCCTCCCCATCGGCTGCCTCAGGCCGTGGCACGTTTGGGGCACACACACAGTCCACACTCATGACGTTTGGGGCACACACACAGTCCACACTCATGGCAGAGATCTGGCCCAACAAAGACCTCCAGGTGAGCCCAGAAGACACCGCAGCCAGAAAACAAGCAGAGGAGAAGATCCAACCCAGCCGGCAGCCCCCAGCCTGCGGGCTGCGGGTCTTTAAGGGAGGATTCCCCCGCAGGCCCACCCCCTCTCCAGCCCACGCCCCCAGCCCGTGAGTCCCTCCTTAATCCCGTCTGCCAGCCTCCCCCAGCCATTGACATGCAAAGGTCACTGGGGAAGAGCCAGACTGGCTCCTCCTCCTCCTCCTCTTCCTCCTCCTCCTCCTCCTCCTCCGACTCTTAAACCAGTTCTTATAGACACGTGACAGCGATTTTAATAAGTCTGTTTCTCTGTAATTAAAGCGGGGGAGGGGGGGTGAGCTGGCCACTGCAGCTCCCGCCTGTCATCCAGTTACCCAGGAGGCTGAGATTGGAGGACCAGGGTTCAAAGCCAGCCTGGGCAGGAAAGTCTGTGAGACTCTGATCTCCAAGGAACCACCAGAAAACCAGAAGTGGCGCTGTGGCTCAAGCTGTAGAGCACCAACCTTGAGCTGAAGAGCTGAGGGACAGCACCCAGGCCCTGAGTTCAAGTCTCACGACCGACAAAAAAAAAAAACTGAGACAGTGCCCAGGTTCTGAGTTCAAGGCCCACGACTGACAAAAAAAATGCAAAAGGAATGGTTGGGGACATGGCTCAGCAGGGAGAGCTCCAGCCTAGGACCAAAGCCCTCAGGTCCTCACTTTGAGTCTTGGTCTCTGGCCAAAAAAGTAAACACGAGCTGGGCACCAAAGTTCTCGCGTGTAATGCTGGCCGCTTTGGAGGCGTGAGAGAGGAGGCTCAGGGACTTCCCCCTCTGGGCGGGCCTCTAGTGGTGATCCTCGGATCTCAGCCTCCTGAGGAGCTGAGATGACAGGTCTCAGCCTAGACATCCTCATCTCTCATCAACTGCCAAAAAGCCAGACATGGGGCTGTGGCTCATGTGGTAGAGCACCAGCCTTGAGCCAAAGACGCCCAGGGACAGCGCCCAGGCCCTGAGTTCAAACTCCAGGACTGGCAAAAAAAAAAAAAAGATGGCAGTAGATGGTAGTGCTGATGTGAGTAAAGGGGAAAAAAATCTAGCAATCTTTCACAACTCCTTTTGTAATAAAATGTTCAATTAGGGATGGATTTATATTCATATGTTTTTGCTGGTCCTGGGCCTAGGCGCTGTCTCTGATCTCGTTTGCTCAAGGCTGTCACGCTACCACGTAGAACCACAGTGCCCCTCCCTTCCAGCCTTCGGGTGGCTCACTGGAGAGAATCGAGTCGTGGAGTAGCTGGAATTACAGGCGTGAGCTACTCTGCTCACCCTGGCAGTTGCTTGACCTTGGCTTTAATAAACTAGTGCTGGCTGGGGAGGGGGGGGCGGAGTCCCGTTGTGGAGGCTGACATCCAGAGGCCAAAGTTCTACCGGGCTCTCTGTGCCTGGGCCAGCCCCGCCTCCTGCTCAGGATGGCGCCTCCCATCTAACGGCTGGTGGAGCGTCCAGTACAGTGCTGCTCCTGATCACACTGCGTGCAGACAGACGTCAGCGCATGCCTGAGGGCCTGGGTTCCATCCAGACTAAAAGTAACTACTGCGGGGTGCAGGCGGCTCCCGCCTGTCATCCAGCTCCTCAGGAGGCTGAGATCTGAGGACCAGGGTTCAAAGCCAGCCCGGAGCCTCTGATCTCCAATGAACCGCTCGGAAAAAGCTGGGAGTGGCGCTGTGGCTCAGGTGGTAGAGCGCCCGCCTCGAGCACAAAGCAGCTCAGGGACGGCGCCCAGGCCCTGAGTTCAAGACGCAAGACTGGCATCCAGAGAGAGAGAGAGAGAGAGAGAGAGAGAGAGGTGGGGGGAGGAATGAATGAATGAATGAATGAATGAATGGCCTCTGAGTGGATCTACTGATCCTGAGAACCCACCGCCCGGCCTCTGTCCTGCGGTCTGAAGTAATGAGCGCAGAGACAGAGACGTCCAATAACGAAGCTTTATTGACCCGAGGGAGGATCCCGGCTCTTGATTGACAGGAGGGGCACCCAGCGTCTCCAGCGGGGATCCCTCGACTCCCACGGTCATTGGACACTCCGCGAGCCGTCTCAGCCCCCCACACCCAATCAGAAGCTGGCTCGAGCGTCCCTCCATCTGTCAGCAGCTCTGATTGGCTGCCCATCTGGCTCTGGGCCTGCAGTCACTCTGGATTGGCTGCGCCGTCTGGCGGATGTCTTCCAGCCACTCTGATTGGCTGCCTTGTCATGCTCAGGTTCTTCAGCTTCTCTGGTTGGTTCTCGCGTCTGGCTCACGTCCTTCAGCCTCTCTGGTTGGCTGCGCGGTCCGGCTCAGGCTCCGGGGTCCAGTCTGCAGCCCCGGCGCCCGATCGCTGGCCCAGGCCCCTCCCGAGGCGCCGAGTTCAAGGCCCACGGCGGGCAAATGCTAATCCACAGCGCTGGGCGGGCGGCTCCGTGGTGGCGCGCTCGCCTCGCACGCGTGAGGCCCCGGGTTCGAGTCCTCAGCACCCCATACGCAGAAAAAGCCCGCAGTGGCGCCGTGGCTCCAGGGGTAGAGCGCCCGGCTGGAGCTGAAGAGCCGAGGGCCGGCGCCCAGGCCCCGATCAAACCCCACGACAGACCGAAAAACAAAAGGGCAATAAATAAGTAAACAAGTAGGCGGCTAAAAGCATTCTTCTGGAAAGATCTTCAGGTTGGAAGACAATCTGCTTTGTGCAGAGCCCTGGGGTGATCCATCCTAGCACCTTGAGAGAGAGACAGACAGACAGACAGTGAGAGAGCAGTTACATACATGAAGGTCCGAAAAAGGCCCAGTGTGGGTGCTGACGCCTGTCACCCCAGCTCCTCAGGAGGCGGAGATCTGAGGATCCCGGTTCCAAGCCAGCCCGGGCAGGAAAGTCTGTGAGACTCAGATTTCTCAAAGAGAAAGTCCTAGAACTTGAACTCGGGGCCTGGGCACTGTCCTAAGCTTGTTTTTTCTCAAGGCAAGAGCTCCAGCACTTTAACCAGGTTTGTGGGTGAGTCACTGGAGATCAGAGTCTCATGGACTTTTCAGCCTGAGCTGGCTTCCAACTGCCATCCTCAGATCTCAGCCTCTTGCGTGGCGGGGATTACAGGTATGAGCCACTGGTGCCTGGCTTTTGTTTTTGTTTCCTTTCAGTGTTTCTATGTTAGATGTCTGGGTGAAGTATTTGGATGTGTGTGTGTGTGTGTGTGTGTGTGTGTGTGTAAGTACTGGGATTTGAACTCAGGGCCTGAGCACTCAAAGTGCTCTTCCATTTGGACTTTCCAGTTTTTTTCTGATTAACTGGAGAAACAGTCCCTTAGATGTCTTTCCCCAGGCTGGCTTCAAACCAGGATCCTGAGCCTCTATGTAGAGTAGCTAGGACTACAGGCATGCGCTACTATGCTGTCACTGGTTATTATGACTTACCTCTCTTGTCTCTTCTTACGCCTGTGTTTGTACATTTCCTTGCTGTATTGCTTCCTCTTTTCATAAAACCACTGACGAATCTGGGGAAAAAGGAGATGGTGGGTGAGTGGGAAGGATTGGGGGGGGGCGTTGGCTTGGGGGGCAGAGGCTGGGAAGCGGGGAGCAGGTGCTGACCTGTGCACCTGTCATGTTAAATTCAAAGGACAGCCACAGGTAGTCCCGCACGCTGGGTGTCCGGGTCAGCTTAAACTTGGCCCACAGAGTTTCTAGAAGAGACTTGCTGACCCGGGGTTTCGTGGAACAAGCTTCCTGCTCTTCCTTTCTTGCGATTTCTGTCAGATCTTCTTCTTTTTGTGTCTTTTTCGGTTCTTTCTGCCTTTTCCATTTGCCACATCTTCTGCATTTCTGCCTCTCTCTTCCTTTGCCTTCCAGCTCCATGGTGTCGGACGGCTGTGGATTTGCACTGCCAGACGACGTCGCTCTTCTGCGGGAAGACACCTGTCAGGAAGGGAAAGAAAAGCAGAACGTGACTAAGCCTGACTCGCTGCTGCGTGGGAATGCATCTGCGTGTGTGTGCATGGGGAAGAGATTACGAATGTGTGCGTTCACATATGCATGTGGCTATATTGGGTTTTGTTCATATGTATTTGTGTGTGCGTGTGTGTATTTGAGTATGTGTCTTTGTGTAGGGCTGGAAGGTGGCTCAGTGGTAGAGTGCTTGCCTCTCATGCATGAAGCCCTGGGAAAAAGCCAGAAATGGCGCTGTGGCTCAAGTGGTAGAGCACCAGCCTTGAGCAAAAGCAGCTCAGGAACAGCACCCAGGCTCTGAGTTCGAGACCCAGGATCAGCACCAAAAGGAAAAGGTCCACTCGAGTGGCTGAGTCCCAGGAGCAGAGGCGGACCCGGCCTGTGGGTGACCCGCGCAGGGCGCTCGGCGTCAGCACCGCGGACAGCGCCCGGCCAGGCTTCATCCGGGCCCCCAGAGGCTGCGGGCTGAGGAAAGTCCAGCAGATTCTCATCTCCAACGAACCACCAAAAAGCCACAGTGGAGTGTGACTCAACTGGTCACCCCCGAGCCCTGAGTTCAAATCCCCAGACTGACACACACACAGGCAATAAAAGAACCAGCAAAAGGGGGCTGGTGGCTCCCGCCTGTCACCCCAGCTCCTCAGGAAGCTGAGATCTGAGGATCAGGGTTCAAAGCCAGCCCGGGCAGGAAAGTCCGTGGGGCTCTGATCTCCAACAAACCACCAGAAAACCAGAAGTGGGGCTGTGGCTCAAGGGGTCGAGCACCAGCCTGGAGATGAAGAGCTGAGGGACAGCGCCCGGGCTCTGAGTTCAAGTTCTACAACCGACAAAAACAACCACAATCACACAATATATATATAAACTTTCAACAAAACTACATCTTCGACACCGCTTTGGTATGTTCTGGGCATTGTTCCCTTTTTCTTGTCTGTGGTTAGGCCAGTCCTGGGGCTCGAACTCGGGGCCTGGGCGCTGTCCCTCAGCTCCTCAGCTCCAGAGCCACAGGCCACTGCGAGCCTTTTCGGAGTGGTTTATCAGAGATCGGCGTCTCACAGCCTTTCCTGTGGCGGTGGCTTCCGCGATCCACCCTCAGAGCTCAGCCTCCCGGGCGGCCGGGATTCCAGGCGGGAGCCGCGGGGCCCGGGCTCGTGTTTTCTGGGTGTGTTAGCGCACAGGAGCAACATGCATATTGCAAGGCATGGGTGAGCCGGGCTTGGGGGCTCCCGCCTGCCATCCCGGCGCCTCGGGAGGCTGAGATCGGAGGATCCTGACTCAAAGTCCGGGAGACGCTGATGGCCAACAAACCCCCTGAGAACGGAGTCCAGTCCCTACAACCGGCCAAAATAACGCACACAGAGACATCACACACACAGACACACGGACACACGGGAACTTACACCGACGGAGGTGGACGTGTCCAGCGCCCTGGGCCGCCCCGTCTAGCTCCGGCCTCAGGCCTGGGTGGCAGCCACTGACTCCCTGACCCTCTGGCTGCGGCCTTTTCTTATAAAGCCGCCGCAGGCCACGCCCACCACCCACACCGTCCCGCTCCACCAA